TGTTTTCCTGTCACAAGAGATCCCGACGATTTTTGATTCACTTCGGATCCCTGATATCTTCGTGAGAGACTCTCCCGCGATGGTGCCGAATCTTCACTTATTTTTCTATCTGTTCGTCTGTTTTTATCTATCTCATCGGGCTGTAACCTCGGGGGAAGGGGGGGGAGGACGCTGACCCTGCGAACAAATCACGAAAGGTTTACGCATAAAAACAAGCGTCATGTCAAGGAGATCGTATAACGTATGAACCTGAGCGTTCCTGATGATGGAGATGCGTTCTGTGATGGCTGTGCGCTGGGGAAGACCCATCGCTTGCCGTTTCGTCCAAGACAAGAACGAGCCAGGTCAGATGGAGAAGTGATCCATCCTGATGTTTGTGGTCCCATCGAAGTGGCATCGAAGAGTGGTTATTGGTACTTCCCTTGCTTCAAGGACGATTGTAGTCGATCTCGTCGGTTCTTTTTCTTCGAGGAGAAGAGCGAGGTGAAAGATACCTCGGAGCAGTCCTCTGATGAGGCCAAGACCCATGAACATGTTTTCAAGAAGTTCCGATCGGATGGACGCGGTGAGTACGTCAACCAGACAGTTGCCAAAATTATGGTGGACCGGGGAATTCATCATCTGATTGGGTGCCCGTACTCGGCGGAGCAGAATGGCGCAGCGGAACGGGAGAATCGGAAGATTGTCGGAGCTGCTCGCTCGATTTGTAGGCGGAAGCGTGCAATACGGCAACTTATATGCTGAATCGCACGGGAAAGTCGTCTGTCAGAGACAAGATCCCGATTGAGCTCTCGAAGGCACAGCGGACTTCAGCATCATGTATAGCAGTTGTCGGAGTAGCGGGTTCGAGAACACGAAGCAGCCAGAGGTCTACAGCATCCGTAGGAAAATTGATCCAAGTTCAGTGCCCGTCTTCAGTGATGCTGACTACGGGATAGCCTCGGTTTGAGAGATGCAGGAAATCTGCATATCGACTTGAAAGAGAATGTCCAGAGGAAGTTGCCTTTCGGAGGGAGTAATGAGACTGAAAGGCAGCCTGGTTGATATATTGAACGTTGGTTCAATGAAGATCAATGAAATACTTAAGGCTTGGCTTGGAGCTGATGCGGACGTGTCTTGCTTATAGTCTGTACGAATGCTAGACATCTCTGTATCTGCTCAAGCTTCTTCAGAGACCAGCCAGGTTCAAGAGATCGTGCATCTCGTTAATCATTTCGCGGGGCTCTGAGAATCACGGATCATGCGAGACTATTAGACGAAGCCGCGCTTCCTGCGGTTCTAAGACCGCTAATCCGAATCTCTCCAAAGAACGGGTATGACGCGGGTATCTAGGCAGCGAAAACGATTGCTTCTTCTAGGACGTTTCCCGAAACCATGGACCTCTCATGGCAAACGCAAAAGATAGAAATGGGAGGCTGATTGAAGCCAAGACTGGCACATCGCCAGTGTACTCGCGACTGAATAACACGCTCGTACGCGGATGACTGTCGCAGTCACCATAGGAAGTGCGTGAGTCTCCGGTGAACCACGACCGTTCCGGTTTTCAGATAAGGGCCGCGGCGGCGCCGACGTAGAGGACAGTCAAGTCAATCATCCGCGAGAATGTGCCGTTTCAAAGACTTATTCCAAAGATGAACTCGACCGGCGAACCAATCTTTCGATGATTCGAATCGCGCGCGCTACATCGTCTGCTGCTCTACCCCCGAAGACCGCTCGTCAGCTGTTAAGTTGCGGTCTCCGGTTGTGTTGACTATTCACATTTGCTGCTTCCCGGAGCTCCGGTGGATAGTGTCCGTCCTAGCCTACCACCCTTGACCGTTCAGTTTGAGGGGGAGTTGGCCGAAGCTAAGCGTGACTGGGAACATATTCGCGACATACATATTTAAGACGACCGTGGGGCTTTTAATTCCGATCTCTACTGAAAAGTCATCGGTCCGAATTCAAAATGACAAAAAATCGTCCAGAAGCTGTGTTCGAACTCGAGTCACAGTTTGTGCTTCGAGTGCCGTCCTGGGTTTCCGGAGAACTTCGTGAAGCGGTTCGTCAGGGAAACAGTAATTTGAAAGATAGACTAGCGATAAAACTCGAGAGTGATAATCGCGTTGGAAGTGTCAGGTCAGTTTCTGACAGATCTTTCGATTTATGGAGAGGGCGTATGCTCTTTCTTATCTTATTTTGTGTGGGATATACTTGCAATCACTCATTCTCTCGCAGGTTCGATTCGTGGAACCTCCCCTCCCGGGTCTACGACCTGCCAAGTGTGATAGAGTCCCACAAAACGCTGGATAGGAAAACTTTCTACAAGACCGCAGACATATCTCAGATAATGATATGCTACGAGCCGGGTACTGCAGCGAGCCTATTTTGTTTTGTACTAATCCGAAACTGTGTCCGAGTCCTCGCGATCGAGCCTCTAATCATCCTCCTCCTCTCAAGGGCAGGAACCGAAGTCAGATGATGAAGCTCCTCTACGGAAGAGGAAAGACGCCTTGACCAAGAAATATCTCTACCCTCACGGAATCACTCCTCCATTGAAAAACGTCCGAAAGAGACGCTTCCGGAAGACACTGAAGAAAAAATATATCGATTTCCCGGAGATAGAGAAAGAAGTCAAACGCTTGTTCAGAGAGGTGAGCTTTTATGACAGCTTCCCAACTATATTTCTCGAGCTCTTGGCTGTGGTGTATCACCGGTTTCCCCCACGTCAGGATAATGAAGCTGAAAGTGTACGATATGAAGTCATTCGAACCGAAGATGAAATGAAAGCTGATGGGAAAGGCGCCATCGAAGTCACCAATCATCCGGGACCTGATCATCAAGGTGAAGACTCACCCTAGATCCCAAACAATACTTCGAGCTCGCGAGGATATTAACAGCTCTGACCGCGATGGATGAGTTTATCGAGTGTATTCCTTCGATGGCATTCCAGGTCCGAGCGGCCACAGCGATCAAACAATGGACGTCGGTGAGCACGATCTTTTCGGGGAACCTCTTTCGTCTTCCGACGAAGAAGGAGAGCAACTCAACATAAATGTCGACTCCACCGATGACTCGAGGAGTCCTCTTAAGAAGACGAAAAGCAGCGATGTTAAGGATCTCGTCACGCAGTTCTCACATGGTATAGTATTCGACAACAGTGTAGGGATATCTTGGCGCATGACTGTGTTAGTAGGGCGAGTTAATTTTCCGTCATTGATCAACTTGACGCGGTTTTATCCTGATCAGCGAGCGAATTCTCGGACATGCTCAACGAGAACCTGGGTGAGGAAAGTAATATGTCGGCGCCAGGACCTTCAAACCTTGAGCGAGGCTATGAAGAGGAAGCAGAAGCTGCTCGGGCACTCGAGTGTGACTTCCCGAAGGACGATGAGGTGTCACAGAATACAGCTTATCATGAGAGACTCGCAGAACTAGACCGCGACATGATCCGACTGACGGTAGGTGAACCCATCCGTAGGGAAGCTCGAGACACTCGAGTGAGGAGAACCACTCAAGATTAAAATCGCATTATCTCATTTTGCATACTTTTCTGCAGGAACAACGTCGACAGCAAGAGGCTGAAATCGCTAACATTGAAAACATGGCTCTGCGCCAGAGATTTCAGTCCCTGTTGCAAAACATCAAGCTCGAACAAGCTGAGAAGCAACGAGAGTATGACAATATCGTTCAGCTTTTACATCAGTGACATAATCCTGTATACACCACAGGTTCCCCTTCGATGTATGGAATGAATTTCGTGCAGAATAAACTACGGGAAAACGATTATTCTGTAGAGCTCTTTCTAAAGATCTTACGGTTCTCTCTGCTGCGCGAATCCCTTGCGAAGACTGCCTGCAAGTGACCTAGTCGATGGTCAACATCTACTTTAATTTTTGCAAGTTCAGAGAGCAATTCCACAAGAGATCCGAACCCTTCCCTCTCGATACCGAGGGTCGTCACGGTAAAGTCTGATCTGGGAAATCAGATGGCATTTTCAGGGACCCTCTGTGGAGGGCAGAGCGCGGGCTTGCGTACATTGAATGCTCCTGCGACGAGCCAACAGAAATTCCGATAAGTTCTCGTGTCGGGCCGTTATGGAGTGAATCATCGAGAGGATGTTCTACAGCAAGATCCCTTACGTGCTGAGGCATAGTGAGACCGCAGCTCGTGTCGGCTCCAGAGCTATGAACCGCTTATGCAGATCAAATCGGTCGCTCGTAATTTTTTTCGGTGCGCACCCCATGTTATTGATTTGATTTTCCGGCGTTCGGGCTCGATCATCCAAGAGCGACCCACGGTTCGGGAAACGTTTCATAATTTCCGTGGGATAAGGCGTTCGCGGCCGGACTCGATCCTGTGGTTATCCGTCAATGATATGGAATCAGCTGAGCTGCCGGACAACCCTTGGTCGTCACATTGGCGGCTGACCATTCCGAACCTCCTCTTCATTAGATGTACCGGTGATTATCAATTGCAAATCGAAGGCGGATCAAGCTGCGAAGGAGCACATGAACCGTTGGGGCCTACGGATTGAAGATGTACCGGGCTTGGTATCCGAACGAGTTTGGTATCCTCCCATAATTAATTTACTGTTCTCATACCTGAGATGAATGATTTCACTCAAATCGGTGACCGGAGCATGAGCCACGGAGTCGATCGAAATAGTCTGGATTTCTGAACTCTTCCGACTCATCCCGGAACTCCTGGCCCTGTAAAGTCCTCAATTGACCCGCCTTGCTTTCTCCTCACGGAAAAGATAACCGTACATCCAGTGCCGAACTCTTGATGGAGCAAGAGCCGAGCCGCCTTGGTGAGTCGGACGCACAAATAGCTCGGCCGACTCGCTGTTCGTCAACTGTCTACCTTGGATACTGTTCTACTCATCCTTGCTTCTTCAGCGTCTGCGGGAATTATCCTGTCCCTGAAGAAGCCGATTTCCTCGGTGTCGTAGGAAGCTGCTGTCTATTATTTTGGACCTAGAACAGATTGCACCGGACCGAGTTCAAGCTGTTTGCACGGAAGGCCGTCAGAGTGGCGGTGCTTCCGGCGGGCCTCTCGTGTGGACGCTTCCTCAATTGGCGTGCTTCTGCCCCATAGCGCGATTCTGCCTGAGGAAATCATTCGCGATTGACGCCGTCACAGCGGATTCAGTCTGCAAGAACTCGTCAGCACTCGGAATCGCACCGGAAGCCTCTCTGGTCCCTGCTCCGCGGCCCAGCTCACCAGAGCCTGCGCAAATGAATCCGGAGGGATACGGAGAGGTGGGTGAATGCCGGAGATAGTCCGAGCTTTTGATTTTCCGGAACTTCCTCCGAAATGACAGACGTTCGGTGATCGATATAATCTAAGGCTCGTACTGTACGGGAGGGTCCCCTAGACTTCGCTCCGCTCGGAGCTGGTCTTCCGGAGAGCCTGAGCAGAAGTGATGAACATGTCTCCCGGAATAGCTGGGGTGCCCGTTGTGAGAAGCTACCGCGGCTTCTGCAGCGGTCGTGATCTTGAATTCCGGGAGTCGGGACCTGCAGAATCGTGGTGCGAATAGCCGTGACTGCATGCGCGACCCGTGAATGGGAAACAGAATTTATCGGGAAATATCATGGGATGCTGGAAATCATCAGTGCAGGCAAACGACAGCTTGGCCTCGAGCACAACATCCACTGGATGCCACCTCGAGGAGCCAAATTTCGCCTGGGTTGCATCAGTCGCCGGAATCCACATAGAAGTTTTCGACGGATGCCAAATTCGCCCCGGCCCCATCGAAGAATGCCAAATTCTTTGAGTACTCCCTACACGAAGCCAAACTTGCACCGGACCACACCGGGTGTTCCCGAATCGATCGCAATTGTGAGGCGACGATATCGAGTGTTTATGTGTCTCGATGATCACCTAGTCCAGCGGAATGTGGACTTGGGAACGAGCAAACATTCTTGCCAAACGCCATTGGATAAGACTCGCCAGCGAGCATTCGACGAAGCTCGCCTCCGTTTCCCTAAGGGTCCGCGATACCACTTGTTTCTATTAGGTGCCGTTCCGCGGTACTGCGGGCAGCGGTCCACGATCACCGTCGGTCACAGACGTAATTACGCTCCAATCAATTTCATGCAAGCGATATTTCGCCCAGTCCTTCGCCACGTTGTTGCACCCATCGATTCTATGTTGGCAACGCGGTAAATGCTCACGAATCGGGGACATTCATCCTTGAGTGATCGATGTTTTCAGTATGGGTCATCAGTCTCCACAGAAAAATCGCCCCGACTCAAGCACCTCTGAGAGCCGACCTTGAAATCCATGAGGAATCAGTTCGGCCCATAGTATCCTCTGCGAAAGCCGCGCCGTTTGAATATCGGTAGTGAGGGAGCTCTCAGGTCGCTCATGCGTACATATGTGTTCCAATGGAGTCTCGCCCATTCCATTGCCGATAGAAGGTGCCATCGTACAGAGCTTCGATAGCAGTTCTCCGCGGAACCTTCGTTATTCGGTCACACTCCATGGGTTTTCGCTTCGCAGATAGTTAATGATTTGAAGGATAAAGTTCCTGCATTCACGATTCGAGCGGAAGGAACAATAGCGAGCTTTGTTCTATCGAATCCTTCCAGCCCGGCCAGAATCACTGGCCTCCCAGCTTGCGAAGAGTCAACACGAACTTTGACTCCTGCCTCGACTTCTCTTCTGCTAGCTATTAGCATAGAAGCGTCGATGGTGCGACGTCAGCAATCACATAGATTTCCAACGGGAAACATGAATCGGTACCCATGCTCATGGAAGCTGACAGCAATATATCAAACGCCGAGGGAGCGGGTTTCGTAAGGTAACAATGGCAATAAACTGGCCAATCGAAATGAGTTCGTTGAACGTTTCATAGGGAAAGTGCGGCGAGGCTCAATCAATTTATCAGTCGATCAGTCCGAAAATACTCCTCATTCCCCCGCCTTCGGCAACGGTCTGTGAATTCCTATCACGGGCAGACGAATCAGCCCGACGTCTGAGCTCGTTGTTCCTCCCGGACGCGACCATTCCCTATTGTTCATAATGTGGATCATGACTCATGACCCCGCAGCTCGACAGCGTAACTGTGGAAGTACAGCGCTTAATCAGTAAAATACTGTTGCAGCGTAGATTTCCTTGATGATCCAGGTGCCCTGCTGTGCGGGATAGCGAATCATGCATAGCAGCGGGAAAAGGAACGCTACGGTTCTAAATTGCATAATTACCGATCGGCTGAAGATCAAGTTCGGAGCGGCTTCCCCTTGGCATGACCAGCGGCGTACACTGTTATGTTTGCCGCGGTGCAGTCAGCGTCGAGTGTTTAGATCGCTCGTATCTTGTATCAGATTAATCCCTCGCCGATCGTGTGCTAGAGTGTCGCTCTGGCGATCTTCGGAAATAGAAAGATGGGCGAGCACGATACAGCACGAATGATCGATCGTTTGGATCAGAATAACGGGTTCCAGATCGCAAGGTTGAGAATTGACTGATCGTTCGCTAATTTGTTGATCGGAATTCACAGCGAACAGTTGCATCATTCGCCGCGTACCCATGCGAGCGGTCTCCATCGAAGCGGGGGGTTTTTCCAATCATATTGACTTCGCGCGAGGTCAGCCGGAGACGCTCTTCACTCGAAGCGGAGGAGGAGTAGACCGACGGCCAACTCCTCACTTTTCTAATTAGAGGAAAATAAGTCTTGAGAGAAAGACGCAATCTAATCTACAACACGATGCAAGCGGATGCAACTACCGCTGAACATGCTGATGAGTTTGTGTTTGGAACCAGATGCGGCGGACCAAGATACGCGTGAGCGCAGCACACAAGCTCCCATCACTGTTTGCAGATGGAAACAAAAATCACGATTTTTCCAAAGTCCGATGGCTTCTGACTCTTTTCCTTCTCCCTCATCCTATCGGTTCGGCAGACCCGGAGCTAATAACCGTCTGGAAGAGAAAGAAAACGCTTTCCGAGTATCCCTATAGCCACGAACAGACCTGGCTGGCTGCAGTACAGCTGCCAAAGGTGTAATTTAATATTTGACTTCCACGAGGACTCGTCTCGCTAACGGTACAGACTGGTTCCGCCGCTTGTTGAACTTCATTCAGAAACGAATATTATCCGTCCCGATTCTTGGCGATTTTATTCGGACTTCCTCATTCGTTGTACTTCTATTCATTAATAGGCAGCATGCGTGCGGCTAGGAGGATTAAGCATGCTGTAAGAATGGATTCTCGCTTCGACGGAACTCTCAGCGGAACTGCGAAAAGACTCGGGCAAGTTCCCTTATCTCGATACACAAACGGGACGGAAGATGAAGTAAAATAAAAAAAACAATCACCGGACCTTCGTGGATCTACTTCAGCCGAGTGATTGAATCGCTGTGGTCTATTCTTAGAGTCGGAGTCGTAGCGTTCCGAGACCCTAATAACATTCACACCCCAGATAACCTCGCGATAGCTTGTTGTTATCCTTTGATATTTTTCGGAGGATTCCGGCAAAGGATCAATCAATTTGGCCATAAACTCGTGTAATTGCAGTAGAAGATGATACGAGGTGGGATTTTCTGTCGTGGTGTTCGCCGTGGAAGTCCATTAGCCAAGACATGGTTATAGGGTCAAGGTGCCCAGCTTGACGTCCTCCCCTACCAGTTCCAACAATCACCTGGGCTTGATTTGGCCAGAATTCCGCGTGAGACATTCGTTGTCCTGTGCTCGTTGGTGC